GGTAGCCATATGGTCATGAAGACTAAGGCACCTGGTACATGTTTATTCAATGGCGCATGGGATTTGATCCCCAGTCCCAACAATCATGCCATCCAACAAATGCATGGCAAGATGTGTGATTTGGGGATCAGATCCCAATGGTGCCATTACTGTTTGCCTGTGCAGTAGGAGCCTGGGATTCAGGGCTCTTCCTGCACTGGCAAGTTGAAAGCTGGGTGCCAGTCACCCAGCTGAACCTGAGCAATCAGTGAATTGTCAGAACTAGCTCCAGACTCGCATGCGATCCAGGGACTAGGGCTGACAATCAGCTGATTGTCAGTCCCAGCCCCAGAACTGCAGCAGTCTTGAGCTGGCTCTAGTTATCCTGCCACACCTTCAATTTAAGGCATGACAGAAGCCAGCCACATCTTTTGTGGAATATTTTTGTGGCTGATTTTTCATTTTGTTGTGCCATTAATTCCTGGAAACGTGGCAGAGTTACTACCGTATTTACTAGAATATAAGACAACCCCCACTAATAATTAGATTCTGTATATGGAAAATTTATAAATTTGATATAATGTTCCAGATACAGAATCTTATTATTGGCGACTTGCCTTGAATTTGTCCTCTGCCCACTGCTACAGCAGGGAAAATAAAACTGGGGGATCATGTAGCTCCTTTGCCCTCTGGCTCCCCCCCCCCAGCTTCTTCCCTCTGCAACCCCTTCTCCCCTACTTACTGTCAGATCCTGCTCCCCCTAAATATATGGAAGGGAGGAGCAAATCTTAAAATACTGACTGTGTAACAAACATAATGTAGTCATTTACAAATAATACCCATAAACTTAGTTAATCCAGAATTGGTACATTTTACCTTTTTTTAAACTACTGCAAAATTTAGCATAGGTACTCCATAAACACACATTTAATAGCATGCTGGCACCTACATAAGTTCAAACTATATATGATATTAGTTCAAAGTCAAAAGGCTCACAGTTTACCATATAGTTCACTGGGTTTAGCCCCAGCAGAGTCAATAGCATCTCAAGCCATGGTGACCCCACAGCTCAGCACTGCTCAGTATGTGCATTTACTCCAGATACCCCCCCACAAAAAAGAGCCATGTGCTAATTAGCCCCCACTCATGGCTGGTACCAGGTGTTTTTGTCACAAGTCCTGGGATCCTCCAAATATTTATATGCAGATGAGGCATAGAGCAACCTGGTCCACCTTCATCGCAGAGGGTGGAGCTACTCTAATCATATACTACATGCTGAGAGCGGAGCCAACAAAAGAATTCTGGGTGAACTGTTTGGGACCCCCTTTGGTAATGTTTCCCAGACATTTAAGGCTGGTGAAGAAATTGGAATCATGGGAAATGAGAAAGAAAGGTGCAACCCCACTGTAAGAGTAAAGAGGAAGTTGAAATGTATGCAGTGTAGTGGCTTACCATGACTTGAAAAACAGTAGGTTCTGAGAGAGACTGCACTCAGTGGACACTGCCATATGTATTATTCAGATAGGTTCCACTAAACTGCCCTTGTGATAAGTTCCCTTGCTTCTCTGCCTCTTGTGGGCTAAGACTGAGTGTAGGGAGTATATCAAGTCCTAGACTTAAGAGTCTGGGATGGAGGATGCTTGCCAAACCCCAAGACCTCTGGGCCTGGGCCTGCACATAGGACACCTATCAATGGATTTGGGAGTATCTGAAGTCCCAGGGTGAATGGCCTGGGATGGAAGATGCTCACCGGTTTTAATGACATACATGATGTTTAGAATGAGTGAGTTCTGCCTGCTCAATTAATATGGTTTTTGGAATGAATGAGTTCTGCTCCATCAGGAACTGATTTGGCTAATTCAGTCTGGAACATAAAGTATATTATATTTAAAAAAAGTTCCCCTCAGCATTTTGGTTTTTTTGGCTAAGATCAAATGCAGCATTTTTGACACAAAGGGGAGAGTGTCATGGCTGACTCTGGCCTTCCAGTGCTGGCCTGGTAACACACACACACACATACGTTCCCCTCAGCATATTTGCCCAATATGGGCCATGTGTTTTATAATCATGCTCCGTGTCGGCTACATTTAATCAACCTCATAGTTAGTTTCCATTACTGAGCCTCTATTACTTAGCTGCAGTTCAAAGATAGACACTCTATCTAATGCAGTTTCCTTGTATGCAAATGTAAGACGAAAGGCTTTTTTCCTCATGCTGATTAGGGGGAAAAAACCTTGTCTTGTAATCAAGTACATACAGCGTTTATTGTGCAATTAACAAGTTAATCACATCTTAATAGTAACCTCCAGTGGGGGCCTGTGTTCCTTTCCCAGGGCTTGGATCAGTCTCTCCACCAATTTTTGTAATGTTCTTCCAGTGGGTTGTATAAAAGATGCTCCTGATGAGCTAAGAAGCCTGACAAACTCATATGCACCTCTGTGCTTTCTCCATGAATTAGCAACAGCTCCATAGAACCAACAAAAAGCCACCTCCTTGTCATCCTTCATTTACCTCCCTAAAACACTCCTGCGCCACAATCTACATAAACGTGACAGCAGGCTGATGAGAGACTGGGACTGCTGCCTAACATTACTTTTTTTTTAGTGTTTCCTTGTGCCTACCCCATGTGTATTCACATGCAGTTTATTGTCTTAAACTAAAATGTAAGCTCTTTCAGTCATAGATCATCTCTAGTCTGTGTTCACCTGGCACAGAAGGGGTCATAATCCATGGGTGCAGTTCCTAGGCAGTATCACACTACAGGAATTAGATGACAAACAACACTACTGCCCACTAGATTTTGTCTTACAATTGCAAATATAACCTCCTTGCTACTCCTTGAAGTCATCTCCCAACTCTGCATTAATTGATGAGCTACACCCCCTCTATGCTTGCAGCTAGTTCTGAGATGAGAAGCTCATTCTGTCCCCAGTTTGTTCTAGGAGCAGTGAGCCTATACATGGCTCAGCCTCACCGCTACTGTAAGCATAAACATCTGCAATACTCAGCCTGGGCTAGCAGCCATTAACCAGAGTCAATTCTGGATGGATACATCTTGGAGGAAGAAGTGGGTGGAGAGGGACAGGGAAGTAAAAGGAAACAACAGACAGAGGAGACAAAGGCAAGCAGTGTTAGATCTGTGAGTTATGGTTAGGGGGTGAGGAGACAAGAAAGAGCAAGACAAAAGCACAGCAAATATAAAAATGAGACAGAGCAGGGAGCACAGCAGCAACAGGAGTAGAACATGAAACAAAGTCAAGAACAGAAATACCCTTGAAAACAGGTCTGTATTTTAAATGCACCACTGACATACTTCAGAATAGGGTGAAATTCATTTTCCACTTAAAGGTGGCAAATAGAGATGACTGTTTGATAGGGATGTCTGGGAGGACCTGTTCTGGTATATGTTCTCATCCCAGGAGAGGGATGTATGGTTTCCATGTGAGGTTCCCTCTCCAGCTGTTCATCTGATGTCACTCCTTGAATCTGAGTATGGCACCTCCCATATTTCAACGTTAACAGCTGGCTAAGACAAGATGCATGTTCCAACACAGTACATTAAAGTCAAACAACATGAGAAAAGGAAATATCTTTCCTCCAGAAATTAAAATCATGTCAGGGAATGGGGGGGGGGGTCATAATACCTGTGGCCCCAGATTACCAGAAGGGCTTGGCCCAGGATGGACCAGCCCACTCAGATTGGGCTCATAGCAAGGGCAAACCCTGAAGAGCCCCAACTTCCTGAAGAAAGGCAGCTGAGATATGCTGGTGGACCAAGACAAGGCCTGAAGTAGGTACAGATATTATTATTGAAGTTACATTAGTTTATTCATTTTCTCACACATGCTGGCCACTGTTGACTGTAGAACTTTAGCAAGACTGGAGGGCTCAGCCAATGTACACTGACCCCAGGCTGCATGGTTTTCTTCCATCATGGACCCTCGTAACAGGGGGCTGACACATGGCCAGTCACCGTACCGGCCCACCCCTCTGTCTAGGGCAGTCGGCCCTCATTCGTCTGCCATGACTTGCTGTTAAATTAGCTGTTGTAAAATACAGGAGGCTGCCCATTAAGTGCCCTGATGCCGACCTTCCCTATACTGTGTTCCATGCCTTGCAGATGGCATCCAAAGTTCTTAACCTCGAACCCACACTTGGCTTCAAACCATCTGAAGACTTACTGGGGTCTCCATTTGACCCAAAAGTCAGCCTCACAACATCTGAGACATTAATGACGTGTGCCCCCAGAGGCTGGGGAGGTACGGCGACCACTTGCAGGTGACGGAAGCAGTTGCAGGGGCGTTGCAGCGGTAAGCAGGGAGCTCCCAAAGACGCCGCTGGTGGTGTTGGCAGTGGGGGAGGGGGGATGTCAGTGGGTGGCGACCACCTGCAGATGCCACTGGCAGCATTGGTGGCACCTCTCTCAGGGGGTGCACATGCACCCCCTACGCATCACCAGTGGTCAGAGTGCCTACTGGGGTTCAATTCCTCTGCCCCCTTGCAGGGACTCACTCACTCATGCCCCCTCACTAGGGCTCACTCCCTGACTTACTTGTGGGGCTGGCCTGACCTTCAGGTTGTCCTTGCAGCCCTACTTTGCATGCCTCCAGTGCAGCCCTTCAGGTTGCCCCTGCGACCCTACTCTGCACCAAACCTCTACAGCTCTTCAGGTCACCCTCTGCAACCCTACTCCGTGCAGCCCAGAATCTTACGCCCCCTCACTGGCGCCAGCACTCCGACCCCTGGCCAGCAATGAAATGGGCGGAGTGCAAGCAATTAAGTTCCTTGTGTTTCAGTACTTCTTTGTCTTAATTAGGGCAGAAATACCAGAAAGTTGCCATTCTTGTGGAATATTAGTAATTCAGCTTCACCCTAGTATACAGCAAAACAAGCAAACATACAAAAATCACCAAATTGCCTGATTCAGGCTGAGTTTGCCTTTTTGAGCAAAGTTCATGTTAGTTTTGACTTTACCAAAGATCATTCACTTATTTTTGCATTTATCATAAAGATGGCCTTACCTCATGTACATCTTGCTGGTCTCTCAAGGCATTCATGTTCTTTATGGCTTTGATAAAAAATCTATTAATTTCATCTCGTTTCTTGTTCGGTAAAATCCGGATCAGTGGGACCATTATAAAAGGGAATGCAACTGTATGAGATTTTTAAAAAGAGAACAATTAAGTTGCATGTAGGAACTCATCTCTTCTCCAATCCACCTACATCTAAACTGTCACTAGGTGAGACATTTTAGTTTTATGCTGCTCATTCCTTCTATTTCAGTCCTCCATTTTAACCAGATACTGAACTGTTGGCCAGGAATCTCTTCTGATCACATGCCACCTACAGTTTGCCCCAGTTTGTAGCTTTGGCCTGTGGTACTGCAATTCAAAGCGACTTCATGACTTGTAACCATCACAGAAAGGAGAAAACATTTTCCTCCATACACAGATAATTTAATCTGAGAATTAAAAAAAAAGTCTTATAACAAGCCTTGCTGAATATAGATTAGAACCATGGAGTCAGATAGATAGTTATCTTACTCCTGTGTCTAGCTCTTAGTCCAATCTTAGGATGCTAGTTCGCTGCTTTAGTCACCCTGTATCCAGCTTTTTACAGAAGAGACCAAAATAGAGAACCTTGAGATACAATATCATAAAAATTTACAGAAGGCCAAAAGGGAGACTCCTGTCCTTGATATTTATATGTAGCAACTAGAAACCTCAAGTACTGTGGCTGGTGAACCATTACCACAAGGTTATCAAAGAGCTCCCTGCTGGACTATCATCACAGTGCACTATGAACATCTTAAAACAGTTCTGTAGACAGTGATTAATCCATCACAATACTCCTGAGAAGTAGTTCTGCAAGCCAACAAGCTGCTGCAATGCAGAGAATATACAGGCCCACCAGTGGTAAGGATGATACTGAAGACCAACTGCTTCCAGAAAAAAGCAACCTACACTATTCAGACACTCTTTATTAGAGGACTCTTCTTATTAAGGCCTTTAGGGTGGTGGGGATGAAGCCATGGCCCCTCTGAAGTCCATGACAATACTCCAACGGACTTCAGCCGGGACAGATTTAAGTGTCAGATTCTGTGAATACATAACACCTAAATGGGAAAGCTCCCCTAGCGAGAGCTCTGGTAAAAACTGTCATCCAGACAAGGATCAAAAGGCTTAGAATTTTTTTACACTGCATTACTGAATACTACTTGAGGGGGTCTAGGCAACAGGATACCTCAGCTTTGATTAGGCTATAGCTTCCACAATTATGTTTCCTAATGATCTTAGTGTAGACAAGAGCTTAGGCACTATCAGCCTAAGATGGACTAGTCTTTGACCTAGAACTAAAAAGCTTTGTATTCCACTTTCAAGTCCATACAATATTCTCTATTAAATCACTTTAAAATAAATAAATTCTCTTAAAGGCATCCTCTGCTGACATTTGTCATCTTCATCCTTTACAAACATCAACCCAGATTGCTACTATTTAAATAAGAATTTTAATGGCTTATGATGTCAAGTCATCATGCTCATCTCCATTTCCACCCCCTTCTATCTGACTTTTTGCTAGCCCATTTTATTTATGGTGGAGTTTCTATTCCTACCAAGCGAGCATATGGCATACTAACTTTGCTTCAGGGTTCCAAAGGGCCATGTTTAATTATATAACATGACTTATGCTGCAGTCATGCACTTTTAATACAAAAGTGTAACCCACAAAAACTGTGGGTCCCATCAGCCTTCCACTCAAATCAAGAGGAAATCTTGCCTTCTTAGACTCACTTTTTACAGGAATCATACTAAAGGCAAGTGGTTGTAGGCTTTATTCTAGAAATTCAGGCAGAAAAAATCCTGCCTTCAGTACTTCCTTCTTGCTTGCAATTCAGAAATTTTGTAACTCAAGAATGGTACCTAAAAACTAGCTAAAATGAAAGAGCAAGGGCAGGTAATACTTACTGGTGAGAATTAGGATAGGTCTGAGCAACGAAATTTCAAAAAACTTCTTGCAGTTCTTAACAAAGGGATCATCAGGGTTCTTCTGAGAGTCCACTTGAGTACCAAAAGCCACACTGCCAACAACATCCAAGGTGAAGCAGCCATAGCATCTATATTGGATTAAAGAATACAACTTTTGTAAGCTAACACTTTCATTGATATCTGATATTTCTGAATATCACACGACAACACTTATGTTTTTTTTAAAGATCTAAGTCAATTTTCAAGTGATCTGAGTTTCATCTATAGTATAAATATTTTAATTATTCTAGCAACAAAGACAGACTCTGCAATTAATTATTCTGCAATTAATAAATAACAGCCTCCAGTCTTCTCTAAAGTTCATACAAACCATGTTAATATTTTATATAACATTTTGCTCAGAAATTGGACTTCTAACTCATAAAAATAAAAATATTTCTGTGCAGCCAGTTCAAACCAAATATAGCATGTTTGGGGTTTACAAACATATTTAGAGTCCACCTCTTTATAGAGAGGTTGTGACTAGGAGGATAGGAAGGGGAAAACAATCTAATGCCTCCAGGGTGACAACAGTTTAAATCAAAAAGTCAAAGCATATTCAGTATATTTGTCTTTCAACTCAAATTAACAACTTGAAGCAAGGAGGATATTCAGCACTATGTGCAACTCCAGTTCCTGAAACCATCGGCAACTGCTTCAAGGAGCACATCTGCTTGTGAAGAAAGAATATGCCTGATGAATCTCCCAGAATTCTTTGAACATATCAATAAATCAGTCTTTGAAGAACTGGTTAACATAATTTATTTAAAGTTTCAAAAAGCCATTTTTTTAAAGCTTCTTAGAAGAGAATACTATGGATACTACAGAAATGAAGATCACGACCATACAAACAAGTTACAGTAAGGTAAGTGATGGTGGGAATTCACACAGTGTGTTAGCTCCTCCATGGTAACTTCCAGTGGAAGTGTTCTTACTTTACTTTACAGTAAATACTTTGAAAGGGAAACTTGGGTTCATAACAACAGCTGAGAACTAGAGATCAGAATGAGATATAACGTGATGACAAATTATTCCACCATTGACTAATGTGGGGTTCTTTTACCTTCTTTGGAAGGTTTTAATGGGGAACCAGCCAGGTCTGACCCAGAATGTCAATTCCTAAGTTCATATGTTATTAGTGGACAGAAGGAAGCAGGCTGGACATTGACAGGCATCTCTCCCCTTTTTTCAAGCTGTTAAAGTTCATTAGAAGACAGCTAGAAATACATTAGATAATAGAAATATATTTACGTACTAAAATTACTCTTTCAAGTAAATACGGTCAGAACGGTACTGGCTGTTAGATGCTATATCTGCTGTACATCTTTCCTTCCCAGGCTGTATCAATCTAAGCTGTGTGTGTGAGAAAGAATTCTTTGTATACAATAACTGTGATTGGGAAACTGTGGCTAATCAGGTATTTTTTTTAAATATGATTCTCTGTTTTAGTGTTTTCAACGTACCTTTGGATATCAAAAGCCTTGCCAGAATCTGCAAAGACCTTCAAATTACTCAGCAAGACATCACATGCTTGGTTTATTAGCGGAGTCATCTAGAAAAGAACACATGTGGCATAATTAAGAATACAATCAATTCCTCTAAATTAGTTACATACAGTAGGTGGTATGGTACTTTCAAGATCATCCGTATCAGTGGCTAAGTAGGAATCTTAGAAATAGACGCATAAAAAGTCAACAGCAAAAGTCCCTTGTTTCTCAAAACTGACATCACTGAGAATCTGCCAGCTGTACCAACTGGCTATTGCACTGTCTAAATTCATGCAAGGAAACCCACAGGCTTATCTGAATGCCCACTAAATGTAGGTTCCTTTCTAGCTGTGACTGTGCCTACAGGCTGTTGTCCGAAATAAAGACAAGCCTCTCCTTTCTCCATCGCGCCCCAAACCAAATCAAATGGGGCACTGACAGACATGAAATGTGCCCCCCACCATTTTCCAGAAAAGGAAATGTGTTAGCTTGACCCGGGTCCCCAGCATCTATAAAGACTGGGCGGTACATGATCTATACAGACATTGGGCGAGCTGAGTCAAACTAATATGATGCCTCCTCTGGACATCTGCTGTGCTCTATGCATGGGTGCATCAAGCTGAAAGTAAAGCGCAGCTTTTGGGGGAGTTTTCTTCACATCTGTAAACAGCTATGGTGACTTATGAAGACTAACTGATAGGGTATATTTCATCTGTATACTCTCCACGATAGAAAGTGTATCTTTAAATGCACACAATCCTGCAAAGAGAAAAGCCTGTAAAGACTATTACTTCTCTGTAGACTCCTGCT